TGAAAGTTGGGGTTTTTTGAGATGGAGTCTCATTCTGTTCAGAAAGCGGTTACTTTTATGGAAGTATTTTTTCTGTTAAATGTTTTTGAAAGTTGAGGTTTTTTGAGATGGAATCTCATTCTGTCATCAGGCTGGAGTGCAGTGGTGTGATCTCAGCTCACTGCAACCTCCATTTCCCAGGTTGAAGCAATTATCCTCCCTCAGCCTCCTCAGTAGCTGTGACTACAGGCATGCACCACCACGCCCAGCTAATTTTGTATTTTTAGTAGAGATGTGATTTCACCTTATTGGCCAGGCTGATCTCGATCTCTTGACCTTCTCTTTAGCCCACCTTAGCCTCCCAAAGTGCTGGGATTACTGCTATATTTTTTAATATAATCTTTTCATATAAGAAAAAAAGCTGAAATTATTACATAAGTCTTTCTTAAATGTGAATCAATTTAGAAACTTCTAGTTTACGTCCAGCCTCATCTGTAATAGAAAACATTAGGAAGAATTCAACTTTTTTTTCCTGAAACATTGTCTGAAAGGGAATGGTTTCCCTTGTTAAGGTGTTCTTGCACCCATGCAGCCTTGTGATCTAGTATATTCTCTGAAGAGCACCCTTCGGCTCCTATTCTGAGCCTATGTTCAGTGAACATTCTTCATGCCCTCATTGTATGAGATATGAGTTATTTTCAATAAGCCAGGAGATGATTTTTTTTCTACCAGAAGTGATTTTCCTGCCAAATGCATATGCAGTTTTCAAATTCGCCTTTGGGCAAGACCTGGAACAGCCTAGAGCGCAAGACCTGATGGAGAACAGTAGGTATTGCCAGTGGTTCATTCCTGTTGTGGTCACATCACCACACAGAACCTCAGTTTCTTCTTCTGTAAAATAAGAGCATTGAACTAAATGGAAATAAATATTCTTTCCCATTCCCCAAAGGCTATAAACTGAGACCAGAATTTTTAGCTTTTTAGAATGCGATATCGTATGCCCAAAGACATATTAATCAGCAACAGCAAAATTCCTCTTCTTGACTTATCCGACCTCTAAAAGTATGGCAAAAAATAAAATAGATGAAAATGAAAACTAGTTATTGTCCTAGAATTTTTAGGACAGCGTGTGAATGAAAAACAATGGGGAAATGTTTTTTTATTGAAATAGTGTGGTATGGCTGCCATTTTTGTTTTAAGCTAGAGCAGTCCTCCTTTATCCAATGTGGATATGTTCTGAGACCTCCAATAGATGCCCGATATCTAGGATGGTGCCAAACTCCATACAGATTATGTTTTTCCTAGATGTGCATACTTAGGATAAAGCCTAATTTATAAATTAGGCACAATACTCTTGCAGTATGGGACCAATTTGAAGTATAAGGGTAACTTAACAAAGCACTTCCATACCCCAATTGTTTTTTTTTTTTTTTTTTTTTTTTTTTTTTTTGGAGTTTCGCTCTTTTTTCAGAGGCTGGAGTGCTCTCTTCTCTCCTCTTTTTCCT